TATTCGCTCCGAGCCGATACAGAGGTTGCGCCCCCTCTAGCCAAAATCAGGCAACATTTCTTGCATGTAAACAAACGGTTTAGAACATATATACATGCGTATAGCTGCTTGTGATTGGCTGAATAAGACAGCAGGAGAGGATCGTCGTTCTCTCTCTAGCTTGCCAAGTGCCAATCACAAGCAGCTGTACGTATGTATATATGTTCTAAACCGTTTGTTTACATGCAAGATATTTTGCCTGATTTTGGCTAGAGGGGGCGCAACCTCTGCATCGGCTCGGAGCGAATATAGTACTTTAATCTACATTAAGAATGTATGCTTGTTCAATTACGATTATCGTGAATAACTAAAATTATCTTCGATCTACAATAGTATATTGTTTCATTAGGTAATTTAAGTTGATCGTGAGATTAACCAGTGGTTATATGAATACAAAAAGAATTCACAGTTATTCTACGTAAAATAACTGCTCGAGGTTAGAGAGTTTATAATTTTTGTAAAAATCGAGCGACACTAAATTTTCGTGTAAAAGTTGGTGCCTGTGGATTAACTCATAATAAAATATACATTCAATTAACAGTTACGGACAATCCGACCAGTTTGAATGTATAGATATAAAAAAAAATAGATAAATAAATAAAAATTACGTCTGATATAATATTGCTTTTCACAGTTATACAGTACAGTATATGAATAAGTAAAGATGAAAATTACAAGTATGATATTAATTTTATTTAATTTACATGCGTTTGATACATTAAAGAAAAGTTTAACGATACCCAAACAAAAATACGATTGGCAAAGTTTACTGAGAACCAAAATTCATGATAATTTATCATCGCGGTATCAAGTTAGTTTATTTTTACGACTTAACTCGACAACTAGGCGTGAATATTCCGACGTTGTAAGAATTATTTCTCAAAACAATCCAGCAATCGTTGCCAATGACGTTATTGGAAGTAGGAATTGGAATAAAAATATTCTCTTCAGACGCAACATCGTTTCTTATGTCATCGCATACGATGGCTCGAAGTGGCATAAATTGTTATATTTTTTAATGAAATTGAATAGTGAAAATCCCTACCATCAACAACCAAAGTGTCTAGTCATATTTTTTCACGACGACGGAAAAACACTCTACAAGAAAATGACACGTGATGCGTATTATGTTTTAAAATTTTTAGATTTCACCATAATTGACATAAACGTGGGACGAAAGGAAGATCAACCGATGATGAACTTTTTCAATCCGTTCGAAAACCTTCACTACAGATCGAACATCGATGATAAATCGATACTCTTCCCCGACAAATTAACGAACGTCAAAGGCTATCCATTCAAAGTGAAAAAATCCCCTGCAATTTACAGAGACGAAAGTGGCGAGCTGACCAATAAGTACCCCGTGGAAAAGAGCGCCCTACGCGTATTTATACAAATGTTGAAAAAAATCAACTTCACGCTGGTTGTCGTACAACTGACTTCGGACAACGCACTGGACAAGGGCAACATCAACGGATACTTGGGACTGAAGCTAATGATGATGAAATACCCCCAAATGTTTCCGGACGTCTCGGTACTTTCCCAATGTCTGAGGACAATAGCCGTTGGGCCGATCATTTTTCGCACGAAATTCAGCAATTTCGACAACCTATTCATGTTCATAAATTTGGCGTCGTTTTTGCTGATCGTCATGTTTTTCTTGAACAAAGTCCTGATGGGGCGCATCCAATTTTGGAGCACGTTCAACATGGCCACGCTGCTGATCGGGGGCTCGAGCAGCGTCGAGCCGCAAAGTAAAGCACAAAAATTGATCATCGTGTGCCTCATACTCCTGTCCATGAAGTACTCGGCCGATTTCTACTCGGACGTGGTCGACATAAAGATGATCAATGAGCTGGAGGAGTTCGACACCCTTGAAAAATTGGACGATTCGCAGTTTCCCATTTACGCGTACAATTGCTTGGAAAACATGAACCGGCCGAGCCTCAGGTACAAGACTCGCTTTCACAGTATACACTCGAAAACGTTGAGGCTTAACAGGGCGGATGAGTGCAACGCCATGCTACAATCCGGCCAGTGGGTCTTTTGTGTTTTCAAAGAGTACTACTTGCCGCGTTACTTCAAACCCGATAGCATGAAGTTGACCAAGGTGACCTTTATGTGTCAGCATTTTGTCTACTATCTGGAGTCGGGCTGTCCCTTTCACGAAAAGTTTCAAAAAGTATCCTCGGCGTTCATGGAACACGGTATCGTTCGTCACTTTGAAAATTTATTCGAAACGAAGGACCAGTTGCGCAACTACTACAACGACGAGGAAGTTATTACCGTCAAAGTTTTTCTTACAATTTTGATAACGGGGTATTCGTTGTCGGCGATTGTTTTGGTGTACGAGAAGAGAAAAGGATCGTTGGCAGGAAAAAATTAGAACAAACGGCGGAATACGCGGTATTAAATATTACGAATACTGTAATCTCGTCCGAAGCAACGATAAAAAACTTTAGGTGAGGCCTCGAAAAATGGAGAATTCAGTTTTTGTACCAGGAATATTAGGAGCCTACATATTTTCACCTATAGTTTATATCTTTAACAATTTTTTTGTCCCACATCAAAACTAACAGCAAAAATAGTTACTTGTTTTCTCGATTCTGCTTCAGTCGTTGGCAAAATTTATTTTTTCTTTTTGTTTTTTTTTTTTGTTTTTTTTTTTCCACTTTCAAGTTATGCACAAATGATTCAAATGCCATTAATTTGAATGAAACATTTATTAGTTATCTAAATAAATTGGAAACGTTGGACACATTACGAATACTCGATGCACTGAAAATATGAATGAAAAAATTCTACTACATGACTTTCCTATTTCATTTCATACATTTGTGTTTTAAATATTAAACAAGATAATTGTAAAATACGGCACCACATATGTTACCAGTTGAAATCATAGCATCAAATTTATCTTGATTATGAAGAAGCTTATTTTAAATCTCCGTAAAAATCACACATCAGATAAAAAAACAAAACTTTTAAAGTATGTGCGCACACGAAGGATCTACAGTTTGCAGCGTATAGTTTCATCAATAAAATTGCACGGCAAAGACGAGTGTACCCTTACGCTTACACAATTTACACGTGCAATCGTATACTTTTTCTTTTAGAAAGTATTAAATCTTAGGAAAAAATGAAAGCCCTTTGTGCTACCCTGATTTTATTTACGCTCTGCCAAGTGATAGCCCGCGAGGGAGACATGGCCATTCGGAATCAGTCGTCGGAGTGGCTGAACGCACTGCGGTTCAAATTGTCCGAAATTTTGGACTCGAAGCATTTGGGTATTTTGTACGCGCATCCAAGCAAAATCCAACCCCGGCGATACCCCGAAGTTGTACGGGCCGTAACTCAGCGACATCCCACCACGATCGTTTCCACCCTCGAGTCATCGAAAATACCCGAAATGCTTTTCTACCGCAACACGGCCGTTTACGTAATTATCTTCAACGATCGTAGATTGGAACTATTGACCGATGTGGTGAACAATCTGAGGAAAAAAAATGCCGCGCTGCAGCGTCCAAAGTGCCTAGTGATTAGCATGCATCACGACAACCGTTACGAGCTGCACGGCTACAAGAATCTGTTGATACAAGCGTGGCGCTGGAAAATGTTGGACTTCTCGATAATCCACGTTGACGGGGAAAACGAGGTGGCGGGAGCTTTCCTTCATCACTACAATCCATTTTGGGACAATGTTTACCGTGAAAAATTGAGTGCTCATTCGACCGTTTTCCCTAATAAATTGGCCAGTGCAAACGGTTACAATTTAACGGTGACACCGTCAAAGTACGTATCTGTCGATACTAATACCCGAAATTTGCGCTCAGTGTTGTACTCCGATAGAAATGTCCTGCACATGTTAACCGTGATATTTAAAAGGTACAATTTTTCCATGAAATTACAACGGTATTCTTTCGGGGCGGTAAGAAAGGATAAGATAAACCTGTTTCTGGGCAAACTGTACAATACGCCACGGTGGCCCGATTCGCGGACAAAGTTGCATTTGTTCAGTGGCTACGTGAATCTAGTCGCCATGGCTCCGGTTGTACACAAAACTAATGACCATCACTTCGAAAGTGGTACCATTTTTTTCATACTTCCGGTTTTAATTTTAATTTTACTCTGCACTGGGGACTTTTTGGATAAATACTTTCAACATCGCTTTTGTACAAATTGTGATTTAAAAGCCTTTCTAAAAACCTTAGTTCTGGTGTTGTTTGCATTCTCACTTGTGTTGTACCCTGTCGAGTTGTACATGGGATTTTTCAACGCAAAAATCACGAATAAAGTAAAATCCTTCGACGCCTTGAATGATCTGTCCAACTTGCAACCGACGGTTTATCTAAGATCTGAATTTTTCTTCGTTATTTCGGAAAACAGTTTTCTCAACGGCGTCCACTTGAAGAGAAAATTACTCCAAATCAATTCTCTGAAGTCGTGCTTGAGTCGGGTGGAGAGACGCAAAAACGCAATTTGCGTGGACCTCGACTCAAACTTTCAAGATGAAAATAATGCAAGGGGTTGTTATGCGAAAATGGCAAAGCCTTACTTCAAACAATTTATTTTTGAGCATTGGATGGAGCCGGCCAGTCCTTACCACGAGGATTTCCAGAATTTTATCAACAGAATGGTACAAAATGGTTTCGACAAATACCTGAAAAATGCGGAAAATAAAGATTACTTCTTATACTTGGATCGTGATAATTTCATGGAATTGGAGATGGTGATTGTTATTTTAACTGTTGGATATTGTGTATCCACTATCGCTTTTTTGTGTGAAATCAGAAAAAAAATTCAATTCAATAACCAGCATTGATATTACTTTGTTTTTATAATAGGTTTATTTTAATTTACCAGTAATATTTTATTTATAGTACAAAATCGTTTTTTATGATTATTTATATGTAATTCAAGATACCTTTTTGGTTTAATTTACGAAATTGTTGACAAAGGTGATTTCTGTGCTGTGATTTCAGGTTTCCATGACTTTGGTGAATTAATTTAGAGAGGAAACGTTGAATGGAACATAAATAATTATTAGATGAAATAGAAAAAAAATTTATTGATAATTATAATAATTAATAATGGTTTTGAAGAATTGAACCTGATAATTCTATTTGTAAAAGGAAACCATCGAAATCATTTAATAATAGCAGATGTGTCTAATGTGATGTGTATGGCACGCTTACGTGCACCCAAAAAATAATTTTATTCAATTTTGAATAAATGTTGTAAGTCCCACTTGTGTTTCCACTTGCCACAATGTTTTGGAATTGCTGCAATATTGTGAAATCTTCGAACAATTTGAAAACATTTTAGAGCAAGACAAATACACTTATTTAAGACGAATAAATTGTTTTAATGATTAATATATTACTAAAGTTTACCAATTCTTTTAAATTTTTTTTTTTTTTTTCAACCAATAAGCAACAAATTCAATAAAGGAAAACCATGCAAGCTTTACTCTGTTTTTAGTTGATACAAGTTTGAACATTAATCACATCAATTAATTACATTTTATATCGGTGACAAAAAGTCAATTTATGCTTGATAAATATAATCAAATGTATAATGTTGTTTGTGCAAATAAATTTGTTTAGATGCAATGCGATTTAATTTTTTATTTTGTTAAACAAAAATTAACATACTTATAATTTGTTTATAAAAATAATGTTAATTTTTTATGTAACATACATGTGTTAATTGATTCTTGATAAAACATACACGCAATAATTGATTGAAGATGCAAATCAAGTATAATTATAAAAAATACATTTTAGGTAGTTTTTAATTGTTAATTTATGGTATTTTAAAAACATTGAAAAGCACGGATCGGAAATCTCGCATTAAAAATGTTTTTACAAAATCAATGTTTTTGTTCTATGATCCAGAAACAATTTTTCATTTCTTCCAGTTTTAAAAATGCTACTCTGATTTTTTGAGTCACCTGCACGAGAATAATTTTTTTTTCAAACTCCGATGATACTTTGTAATAATTTCGCCGTAAGTTCGACCTTGCTGAAATAGGCGAAAATTTTGATGGAAATGTCGTCCACGTAAATTCCCTTTTATTCTTACATCTAGATATTTTGGAAATTAAAAGTTGCCGCCACATATTATCACAAATAAAAAAAAAAAAAAAAAAGGCTCGAGAGCGAGCGAACTTCTCTGTTCAACAAGTGTTTCAACTTGAGCGACCAGAATCCAGAGATCAAGTGCTACCGGAAATCGTGTGGTAATTAAAAAAACCATATTAAGGCATTCGGAGAATTTGATTCTTTCATTCGCAAAATCGTAGAGACGAAATTTTCCGTGAATTGATTAATATTTTCCAGACTAAAGCTGACGCGTGATAAGAGATAAAAAAAAAAAAAAACATGTCGTTCGCGAACAAAGTCGTGCTGATAACGGGTGCGAGCTCCGGAATAGGTGCAGCCACGGCCATCCATCTGTCCCAGCTCGGAGCATTGCTTTCCATCCACGGCCGTAACAAGGAGAACCTCCAAAAGGTGGCGGACCAGTGCAAGGATCCCAAACCTTTCATAGTTACCGGGGAAATCACCAATGAGTCCGACGTCAAGGAAATCCTCGAGTCGACTGTGAAAAAGTATGGGAAACTCGATGTTTTGGTCAATAACGCCGGCACTCTGGAGTCCGGTGGCATTGAGAACACCAGTTTGGAGCAGTACGACAGGTTGGACGAGTTTCATCGAAATAACTTTTTTTTTTCAAGTAGCATTTTGACCACTAATGTCACGACCCCTTGATTTTCAGAGTATTCAACATCAATGTCAGGTCAATCTATCACTTGACGATGCTGGCTGTGCCCCACTTGATTAATACCAAGGGCAACATTGTTAACGTCTCCAGTGTAACTGGGCTCAGAGCTTTCCCCGGAGTTCTTTCATATTGCATGAGCAAATCTGCCATAGACCAGCTGACCAGATGTGTTGCTTTGGAACTTGCTGGCAAACAGGTTTATATCCCGATTTTTTGGTTCTTTTTTTATCAGAACATTACTTAGAACACTGCATTTTCCAGGTTCGAGTAAACGCTGTGAATCCTGGTGTTGTAGTCACCAACTTGCACAGACGCAGTGGTATGGATGAAGACAAGCTCAAGCAGTTCTTCGAGCACAGTAAAGATACTCATGCCTTGGGCCGTCCTGGACACCCCGATGAAGTCGCCAAGACTATTGCCTTCTTAGCTAGCGATGATGCTAGTTTCATTACTGGTCAAACATTACCTGTTGATGGTGGCCGCAGTGTCATGTGCCCACGATAAGATGAATTTCAAGGATACTTTGTTTCTTAATCATACCAACCGCTGTTTATTTTTGCATTGCGATTTTATACAGAAATATGTTTGTTCGATCTTGTTTAAAGGGGAATATGAAATAAAGGTATATTACTGATAATTCGTATTTAGTTTTTGTTAGTTTTAAAATAATTATTTTACAAAATACTGAAAAAAACATTTTTTTAAGAAAACTACCACTTGTCTACACGTAAATGTTCATTTATTATTGGTATGAAAAATAATTCCTGGCGAAAAGTTTGTACTGACCCTTTTCATCATTCATAAATAAAAGAGCTCGTATTATTTTTTATACCAATAATAAACGAACATTTACGTTTACACGTTCCCGGTGTTTTCGGAGCAAACAAGAACACATGGAAATATATATATATATTAGTATTTAAGGTGACAGCAACGGAGCAGAAGAAATGTTTCGTAAACTTTCATTGTTAGGTTATGTCAGTCCATGTGATCGATCGAACGTATATACCGGTGTTTTTGTAAGTTTTCTCAGTAATAAACTGAATAATAAATAAAATTTCTACGCTGTAGGCAAGCGTTTTCTTTAAAAAATTAACGAAATGGAAGAAAATCGTACAAGAATCGATTGGCACCTGCTACTGAATATTCCCTTGGCAGAAGGTAGGGCCATAAAACCGTGTGATTTTCCAAAATCTTTATTGTATTACACTAGATGAATTTGTATGAAAATTTTTCAGGTAAAAATACGATAAGCCATGAAAAGGAAATACTGAGCGGACACTACGAGACTGTATTTGAAAGCGAATTTTTCAAATCTACAATGACATCAGTGTTTAGTAAAAACTTTGAGGAGAACATTAGTGAAAAAATCAATGCCAGTTCAGATGTTGGTGAAAAGTGGTTTTGCATTGGTGTTGCGTCCCTTCTGTATTTCATCCAAAACAACTGGACTGGTCCTTTCGCGAACACGGATGTCGAATGCTTGCTGGGCTTGAGGAATATTGCAGCTGCCAAATTAACACTGGAGGATCAGTACAATGAGAACGTAGTGAAGCCAGAACTGCTCTATCTGGCCAAAGTAATATTTCACAGTGAGACCTTGAGGACAAAGTTTCCGTTGTGCACCTGGTGGTTACTTAGAGCTAATTTAATCCATCAGTTGCTTCTGGAAGAGTCGTCTGCTGTTTTGTTTGCTGAATCCGAGGAGCTGATAAAGACCATTTGCGAGTCTGATTTGGTGAAAGACAGTCATTTGAAGGCTATTTTCAAATTAGAGGTAACGCACTTTTATTTGTATTACACAAGAATACAGAGCTCAGAGAAATACCTGGAGGAAGCTGCAGTTGAGGCACAGTTGAGTTTTGATCTGGAAGGTGCACTGGGTAAGCGCACAAAGTACCAGCAGCAAGAGAAAGCTCAGTTGTATTTAAAAGCCAAGTTGGAAAAGGAACCGTTTCCACACAGGGGGTGTGATAATTTACCAAAAGTCATAAATCTGAGCGATGACTTGCGCTTGGAGAAAATTGAATTTTCAGAAAAAAGAGAAAAGGCTCGACTTGGAAGCATAGAGGAATCTGTTATCTTGACAAAATAGTAAAAATTATTTTTGTTCATTGAATGTAATATTACAGTATATATATCTTTAAATAAACTTTTTTTTTTTTTACTTGAGTTTTCAGTTGAAAGTATCACAACCAAAGGATGAACTGACAAACGAAGTGCTTGCACCTTACCTGGACGTAAATACGGATTAATTCATTTTTTGTCTAGATAAAAGTAGTTTTGATTAGTCATTCATTTATACGTGATTTTATTAGCAAGTCATCGATGAGACTGAGAGCTGGGCTTTAAAAATGTCCGCGCTGTTCCAACGCTGCATCTTAGAGTCAAATCACAAGAGAACGATAGAACGTTCTCTTTCTCAAGTTGAATACTTGATCGAGCAACTCAAGTGTGAAAAAACGCCCATTGCTCTCAGGATGGATTCGTTTTTTGCAAGTGGCATGAAGCCAGTATGGGTATTGAAGCAACACTTGGCCAATTTGATGCTCAATCTGGGAATGGTCAAGGGCGCTTTGGACCTCTATTTGAACCTTTCTCTGTGGGAAGATGTCATCGTTTGTTACACAATCTTGGAGATGAAACACAAAGTAAGTTTGTACAGTTCAAATGTAATTTCTTTGATTGGTGGTTACACAGATGCTGATATAAAAAATCTTCACCCTAGGCTGCGGATGTTATTAGGCAAGAGTTGGCTAAAAAACCTACTGTCAAGTTATGGTGTTTGTTGGGTGATAACACACAAGAAGTTGAACATTACGAGACCGCCTGGAAATTGTCAGGGGAAAAAAGTAGTCGCGCGCAAAGGCACTGGGGATTCTATTACTATTCCAAACAAAACGTGAGTTTTTCTTGTTTTTAATTTTTTTGAATCATAATTTTTTAATTTTCTTATTGTTTAACAGTACAAAGAAGCTATTCCACATTTAAAGTTGTCCCTGGAGTTGAATAACATTCAAGAAAACGTGTGGGTCAGACTTGGTTTTGCTGCTTTGCAAGTTGAAGACTGGAAACTTGCTGCTTCGGCTTACAGAAAATACTGTGCCCTTGAACAATCGGTTAGTATTTTCACCGATTATCACGATGACTTGAAAGTTTTTTCGAAAGTTGAAAAAAAAAAAAATTGCAATACTTGTTCTAGAGTTTTGAAGTTTGGAATAATTTGGCCAAAGCTTACATCAAACTTGGAGACAAAGCAAGAGCTTGGCGCTCGCTACAAGACGCCATCAAATGTAATTTCGACAAATGGGAGGTGTGGGATAATCTGATGGTTGTCAGCACCGACTTGGGTCACTTTTCAGAAGTAAGAATGATCGAGCAACCATTTATATCTGAATTTACGAAAATTTCTTTTTCCTTGCCACAGGTGATTAGATGCTACCACCGGATCTTAGATGTCAAAGGTGTCCACGTAGATATCCAAGTTCTCACAATTTTATCAAAAGCAATAATCGACGAGTTGAAAGATTCGGATGGGAATTCATCGAGAAAATTCTTACAAAAGACCCTAGAACTCTTTGGCAGATTAACATCGATGACAGCTACGGACTCGGATATCTGGAGGCTGTATGCTGAGCTTACGTTGCTGAAAAAAGACAAAATAGACAACGAAAAGGCTGCACGTTACCTTCAACGAGCCTATCAAGCAGCCGTTGCGAATCCAAGGTAAGATCTTGTTCCACCCTATGGGGGTGAAATATGCTTATGTAGTCTTTCTTTGACATTTCAGATGGTTCACAACTATTGAAGATTCGAACAAAGTGCTAGAGACGTGCAAAAGACTGGCAGAAGCTTCCCTAAAAAGTACGGAGCACTGCGCTGTTCAGCAGAAACGACAAATACTCGCGAGCGCAAAATTATCCCTTCAATCTGTTGTTAGAAAAATCAAGGATTTAGCGTGGGAGGATATGTCGGACATCGCGGAAAACTTGAGTACAGTCGAGGAGTATCTGCAGAAAGTTCTTGATGAATTGGAAAAGATAAAGGGTTTAAATTAAATAGGAACTATTTATCAAACGTGTACTTTCAGCAATGCCGCACTCGTACTTTATTGTAAAGTGAAGATCTATTGATTTTCGTATCTAAAGTACTTTGTAATATTTGTATCAATTACGTATTGATATGTTGTACATAAACCGAATGAAACTTTTTATTACTTTTCAAACGTTTCCATAACTTTTATCATTCAATGTCAATTAAATTCTGGTACTGACATTTAGGTCATTTTTTTATCTTTGACAAAAAATGTCCCTACACAATTAACTCAGAAATCAAAAAGTATAAAAAAAAGGTTGCAAACAACAGCAAAGTGTTCACACATCTCCATGGTACGTGCTAGCAATGATGAACCTACAGTCAAAATTGTTTTCGACGACGATCTTCATGGTACTCTTGACTTTGTCGGCTATCATAAACAGAATTTCGTTGTTCATCTCTCTGACATCTTCCAAATCGGAGTCTATGAGTTTTCTCCGGAAAAATCGGCACAAGTAGGTCTTGGTGGTGCCGAAGTCGCTAATCTTGAAATCTTCGAGTGCCGAGAAACACCTGTGCGACTCGAAATTCACGAAAACCTTGGCCCCGAAGATCAACCCATGGAACTCGGTGTTCATTTGTAAATCCTCGTCGTTGCCGATCTGAAACACATAGTATTGGAATAAAAAAAATTTTTTAAAAGAATCGCGATTTGCTTACTTTCGATACTCTTCTGAACGTCGTGTTGCTCAACGGGATGCGAAAATGAAAGAGGAACATCAGCTGGTTGACGTGGGACGAGACCTCGATCTCCGTCCGATCGCTGAACTGCAGGTCCGTCAAGCCCCTGATCGTTATACTGCGTGTGCATTATAATATATATATATATATTCTTCAAGACTGTTCGCGTGAGGTGCACACTACATATATTACTTGATATCGTCTACTTAGTTTAAAAATCTCCTTTTTTTTTTTAAATAAAATTTGTATTAAAAATACTGCCAACATTCGATATAATTATTTTATAAAGTAGTATGAAAAACGATTCAAATATTTCATACAATTTTAATTATTTCAAATTATTTAATAATCAACATAACAATTATGTTTAATGAGGTAAAATCTATGATAAAATTAAAAAAAACTCTATCATTGAGTACGTAAAATAAATAGTAAATGGGTTTTTTTTAAATTTCAACTCAATATTAATTTAATAAGGGTTCAATCAACAATTGAAATACATTATTTTTATTAATCTTAAATTCGTTACTATTAATTAAAAAATAATTTTCATTGCTAGTTGAATGGTATTTCGTGTTGTTAAACAATCGGTACTTTAATTAACTATTTAATTAAATTGCTAATTGAATGAAATATAATTGTTAGTTTATTGGTATTTTAGTCAACAATTAAATTCAATCGAACTGAATTATACTTTAAACTATACATAACTTGGCCAGTTGCAACCATATTAATAGCTGATTATTTTTTTGTGGAACAGCTCACTGACGCAAGCGTGTGTTGCACGTTTTTTAGAAAACAATCATGTTTGTTTAATAAAGGCTTTAATTGAGAGTTGGCAAAGTTAAAAATTTGCAATAATTAATAGTTAAAAATTGTTTCAGTTACCAAAACATTTCTTAATTGTTTCTTATTTTAATTTACACTTGAATTTAGTTCTTAATTGGAAAAATCTCTAATCATCAATAACATTGAATTTTTCATCAAAATAACTTTCATTAGATTTGAAAAATTCAATTTTTTAAAAACGCTAATAATAAGTTAATCAAGAATTTTCGACGAACTGGCCGATGAAGTCGTTGAAAAATTTTTGAAATAAAAATAGCTCACGATAGCCCCTCGTATGTAGATAGATCGAGGGGAATACAAGGAAAGAAATTGTTCGACTAAAAAAAAAGTGTATACTGACTCGTAACTTTCCTCGAAAGCCCAAAAACTGTCGTTTTTCGAGTTGGCGATCCTCAGTGTGCCGCCGGTCTCGTTGGCGAACTTCTCCACGGTCTTGGTGATTATAAGGTCTGTGGCATCACTCACGTTCTCCTGCCAAATTTTTATTTTTTATTTCTACGCCCTTGGTAGGAAAAAAAAAAAAAAAAAATTAACGCACCACGACATCTCGATCGGGAGGCTGGATTTTCGGCCGATTTTTCCGAAACTCTGGGGACAGTACCGACACAGGTCCGAAATTTCGCAGCTGCGCGCGATCAAAGTCTTCCCTCCTCACGACATCCAGGGCTTCGCACATCCTCGTGTCCAGGCACTTTTTCGCCACTCGGTAGTAGTGATCGTCGCTCACTGTGAGCCTTTTTTATTTATTTGTTTATTTTTTTTTTTCAGACAAATGACAAAATTTATTACTACCTGTTTCATCCCCCTTACCTGTGCGTGTATTTATCGGCAATGAAGAACTCGCAGTCGTGCAAATGTCCTTGGTCCTGAAAAAAATATTTTTGATAAATAGATTAAAATTATTATTATTATTATTATTATTATTGGCGTTGAAATATATATAGATGTGTAGATAAACTTATAGTGACATCGAGATTAGCAACGCCAAGTGCTATGATTGGCAATGCATTGACGGAACAGGCTACGGGTGTGTTTGTCGAATTGTTGGAGGCTGTAAAATTGTAAGTTCATCGTCACTTCGAAATTCAACAGCAAATTTGTATGATTGATTTCACGAAAAATCGTCAATATGTGAGTTTTTTATGGGTTTCTTCGTATGTACTAATGGACCTATTTTTTTTAAATACCGCTGTGCTTTCAAGTAGTATTTGTCAAGTCGAAAAAATAATGTTGGGAAAGAAAGTTTTCAAGCAATTTATTTATCTTTAATAGATTTGGTCAGTTCAAATAGAAATCACAAAGAATTATATGTATTATTAATTACTGGCCCAATCATGTTGCAAATACTTTCGGTATAAAGACGCAATTTTTCTAAATTTTTTGATATACATGTTTCAAAATGCGATTTTTTTTTACGTATCTATCTCGTGGTAGATTAAATAATTTGATGCCGATTATAAATAGAAGCGCATTTTAATATTTTATTTTTGTTCATCATTTTAATTTATTATTTTTCGTATAATTACTTGTGCGTATGTGACAACTTTATTGTTGCAACAGAAATAGATTTTATTTCACCAAAATAAATTTCCAACACAGGGTTCTAATTTAGGGCGAAAATTATTAACACACAAATTTTTGACACTATGATTTTTTGAAACAATTTCGCACAGTTTGAAAAGGTTATTTGAGTATCCGAAAAATTCGCAATAGACAGAATACACCGAAAAACTGAATTAGTGTTCAGAAAAAACATTTAATTAATTTTTGACATTTGCCGTACAATTCACTTTGTTATATATNCAGTTGGTTTACTTGGTGCAGCCAGGAGTATACATATAGGATGCTTTACTTGTTGAATGGGGTTTTTAAGTTTAATAAAAAAAAAATAAAATAAATAAATATGATACTCACATTCACAAATGGGTCGAATTTCTTGTAAGAGCAAATTCACAGAAGACGATCCCGAATACGTGTAAACGGATAGAGAATCTCTTTCGTACATGAACACCAAAACTTGCGAAAGATAATCCGATTTGGTATTTTGGACAAGCGATGAACAGCCTATTGTGATAGTTTATGATGACTCAAAGAGGCAATATGAATTTATATAAAAAAAATAAACATAAACGGCATTTCATTTAATTTTTTCAACTCACTCAAAAATATAGTTTTCGCATCTTTCACTAGACACACTAGGGGTACGAAAAAAATGATCACCCGTCGAACTCCGATCAAGATGAAATTCATAATGAGAGCTTCACTGCAATTCTTTCAATTAATTTATATAAACACAGCGCTGAATAAAAAAAAAAAAAAATAATAATAATAATCATAATTTATATTGTACCCAAGAATAAAGTAAGATATGGGGTACAATCGTTCATGCAGGCATGATCATTTTTACACCATAGAATAAATAATCTTGAAGAAGATTTAACACACGGGGTGAACTGAAAAGCGAAAAAAAAAATGAAGATGCGACACGTTGAATTTTTCAGGCATCTCTGACTGAGTATATACCAACCCATAGTTTTTATATAGCACACGCAAGTGGAGTAATTGACCTCATGACTGCTTCTAAACTGTGACTTCCACACCTCTGGGCCACTTTCGGAGATGCTTATTTCTCTCCCACTCTTTGATATTTTGTTTCCTCTCGCAGCCATGGGTTCACGAGAGCGAAAAAAAAATTAATCATTGGGATGAGAATTTGGGGTCAAAAAGAGATAGGGAGAGATGCCGATATAGTACAGTCCAAATCATTACTTTGTGGCACAATTTTGATATAAAAATATTATTCATCAGTACATTGATGACAGACAAAAAAAACATTTCCTGCAAAAAGCTTACATTGTGTTTTGATAAAGAAATATAATTTATAAGAATAAAGTATTAAAAATTGTATGGTAAACTCTTTTCTCTCGCAATATAACACTTTTCTAACGGGAAAAATATTTGTTGAGTACTAAATTACAAGTGATGGAAAAAAATTTTTCATATCCACATGACAATAATTATATTTTAGGAAAAAAAAAGAAACAGTTATAGGTGAGCTAGAAAATAAATACAACGGAATTTAATTTTGTTTTCTTTAATTATCAAAAATACGAAGCGATTATACGATTCTGTCATTACCCAAAAAATTAAATTGCAAAGACAAAATCAAAAAAATTTATAATAATAATTAATTTGATGGAAATTGCACAATTTTTACGTATAAATTACGTTCGCAGGGAAAAAAGGCGTTGGTATAGCTCATTCCTTACATAGGAATAATTATGAAAGAATTGAAATATCAAGTATAAAATTCAATTTAAAAAATCGAATTATTTTTCCAATGAGAAGTCCGATCGATTGTTACAAATCTTACAATCGGATCGAATGAGCCCCAATTACAGCAATTCTCATACGATCGATGAAGTTACACATACTTTACT